GTAGGCTACCCTGTAGCTTTTCAACGAATAAAGTCCTATAAAAGTCATTGTGTATTAAAATGCCTCCGACGGGATTCCAACCTGCGACCTCTCACTGATAAGGCAAGCGTCATATTCGTATCGAGGATACTACATTTATGTCATCTACAAGGTGTTTATATTTTTCCGTTTTTCGCTTATGAGCTTTGTCAATGTTCATTTCAAAGGGAACAGTTAATTCTATGAGTTCAATTTCGTTGCCATTTACTATTACAATATCTGGCTTGCAGCTAGTTATAGTTATATTTGTGGGTATGGTTTCCCCCGCTATTGTGTGGCCCGAAACGTCAGAGTATAATGAGTCAACGTTTCGAGTGTCTAAAATATATTTAATTAACGAAAATATAATTGAGTCATGCCTTCATGTAAATCTTTCCTGGGCTAGTGAAACAGGACATCCATTTAGAACGTGCATGAGAGTCTCTTTGTTGTGACACAATTTTCAAAGATCGGTTGTTTGTTTACCCCAGGTGCGGAGATTTTTCAGGGCAGGAAGGAAGTCGATGCAAGCCCTTACAGCAAAAAGCTCAGCACACCCCGGGGTAAATCATAAATGGTTGATCGCCATGTAGATCTGCTGATATGAGGTGAATTAATTTTAATTGTGCTCCCAGTTGAACTAATGGCCTTATATATTCGTTCCAGAGATTTACTCTGTTGTCGAACAGGATTTCCTTATCAGCAGTTTTTATACTAGACCAGCTATCACTTTCTTTAAGTTTTGTTATGGCAGTTTTATGGATTTCTTGCCATTTTTAGAGCCGTTTTTCGACATTTTCGTAAACGAAGACTCTCTTTTTAATTTACACTCCAGTGCATGAGTTACCCGAGAATCAGATTTCACCAGAGAACGAGAGTATGCCAATGCATGAGACTCTAAATATATTGTTGATATTTTCGGAAAGTTCAAACCTTCAGGACTGTGGACAAAGCTAGGTGTCGATCCATGGATAGACATACCAAGCCATTTTTTCAATAATATTAGCATGTATATGGTCGAGGGTTTTAGGCTGCGTGTCGGACAACTCATGCACCGTTAACATATATCGAAGAGAAGGTGTAGCATATTGCACATAAATACGGAGCTTAAATTCCTTCCTAATTAGGCTGTCATCTATATTATTAATTATAGTATTATTTTTTTCTTTAATTAATTCAAACCTCTCTTTTGTTTTCCAACTAAAATATAGCATACATTCGAGAAATTTTCTGGTGCTTCTTTTAGAGATTTTAGTTGATTATCGCCTAATGCGAATTCGCAGTCATCTGAACTACCACCTCTGATTGACATGCTTTTACATTTAACTGGCTTTAACATAAGTTTCATTGAAGATGTCATGTCGATTATTTTATTTATCAACATTTGATGTGATCTTTTATTTTTTTGTTAATAGACAAAAATCGTAAGCAAGCGGTAGCGTAATGAATGATGTTCCGTCGAGCTCATAGCCATGCTGCTACTCAACTGTTTTGAGATAATGAATAATTAGGTTGAAAACTAGTAGAAAGATTATTAGAGAGAGAGTGGACCACCTTGAAATACTCCTCGCCTGAAGTTGAAATATGAGGACTCCCATTCAGGCGTATAAACTTTCCCGCCTAATCTCGAATAAAGATTTCAAATGTATTGCCGTATCTTGGTTGGGATTCAAATAGGAATGTATACTACATACTCCGAGTATTGAAACTTGCGCCATCGGTTTGGGATATAATATTTCGACATTAATTATGTCATCATTAGATTATGGTCTCCAGGTGCTTTCACACACAGTCGAAATAATGAATCCCAACACGACAGCGTGCATTCCAATACTTGGAATATCTTTCCTGACCTTGTTTAAATATTGCAAGTTGTGTTAAATTTATGTTTGTATGTCGTCTAAATAATGTACAATTTAAATTAGTACACATAGAAACATAGACTGTTGTAATTAAGCATGAAATATTTTCGAAAGTTAATAGTATTAACTTACCGAAATATCATTAAATTACAATGGTTTTCGCATAAATCTGCTACTTTTCGTAGTCCTTCGTTAGACATCCATAAGCTGACGATTTGAAGACGTTTGAGTGAAACAATTCGTTGTAACATTTTTACCAATGCGTCACACGTACCGTTTGTAAGTGTACAGTTTTTTTTAATTACTTCTATTTCACCTTCATCTCGCTTACCATAAAGACTCAAAATTTTCAAATACGGCATATCAGTCAGATTTTCAGCTGCACAACTTACAATATTGTCACAGTTTTCTGTCATGTCCGTAATCTTCAACACAACCAGTTGGTGACATTGACATGCTTGTTGAACTATTATATATGCTGTGGGTATAGATACTCCTTGCAGCGGAAGTGTTAATTCTTGTAGACAGTTCATGCCCTGTATGCCTTGGCCAAATTTTTCACTAGCCTTGTCGAATAACCGGTAGATTGAAAGTACCTGAAGCAACTTTAATATGTGAAGGTTTTGTGACAAGGTGATCATCCCACTTTCAGACACAGGACAATAACTTACATTTAAATGTGTCAATTTGTCAATGTATTGGAAATTTTCTGCTAGAAAACCTATACCATCTTGCAGTGGATTATTTTTCAGGATTAATTGCCTCAAGTTGTGAGTCTTTTTAAATGACATTGCCACTACCCTGCAGACTTCAGGTCCAACGTTGGCACTAGTAAGATTTAAGACTGTAAGGGAAGATTTACTTATGGCATATGGTAAAAAATCTGTCATAGTAGCCAAGTCAAATCCAAGGAATGTGAACTCACGAATATTTACTCTCTGAAGTGACTCGAAAATAGGCTTTACATCTGTGTCATTACTTCTGTGATCATCTGTGATCTGATATGTTCTCAAGAATGATAAACGTTGATTTGCAGGAAATTGGTGAAAAACTGGAGGTAGCTTTTCCATCTGGCACTCTCTCATGTGCTCATCTATTTCTTCTTTCGGCATGAGAGAATATATTTTCACCTTTTCGGTAAATTCCGTTTCATCAACTGGAAACATTTCCCACAACGTGCTTATCTCTTTGTTCGTTTTAATACATATATTCATCAATTCAATTTTGAATATATTTAGGTTTACATTTGTAAACATTTGGCTGAACTTTAGAAGGTAACTCAGAGATTTGGCAAGTGTCGTAGAAAAATTGCTAAATCTCATGTGCCCTTGCTTGAAGATAAGAGTCATGATGTCATTCAGCGAACCAGAACATTTACTCTCGTGATAGCAACGAATGCATAGCTCTGTGTACTGCTGAAAGGCCATACTTTCTTCGAAAGAGAGCTTGCCATTAAGATATCTATCACTATTGCTTGAGAGCTCATTTACAAAAATCTCCAAAAGTTTGTTTAAAACTAATGTTGCACTATCTGTATTAGTACCGCTCAAGAACAGAAGAAACATCTCAAATTGGAGAGCATCTTTAACAGAACATATTTTACCCATGTAAGATCTGAATTGTTCTGGATCGTCATGTACCAATGTAGCAGCAAATTGTGCTGCACATTTTTCCTGCGCAGTTTTGTGAAAGAAAAGTACCAAGACCTCTTGTGTCATTTTTCTTCTTTTCCTGTGGAAAGTTTGTTTGTTATCTGAATCTGTGTCTTTATCCTTTAAATAACTGTATTGCACATTTCCTGGTTCCGTATCTTTCATCAGTAACCCTATCTTACATGCAATACGAGTAACAGTATTTGGTGGGGCATTTTCGCTTATTGTTGTATTTTTATTAATTTCTTCTTCTCGAAATTTGAGATTGTTTGTAAATAACCCTTCCAGTCCAACGATACTTAATCTTTTCAGAACTTCAACCTGATACATTTCAATCTGTTTTACATTATCCTTATCCTTGTCTTCATATCTGTTGAATATGTAATCTAAAATCTCATCATATAGTTCACTTATTGTTTCTGGTGGATTTACTAAAACGTTGTCCTTCCACAACCAGCAGAGAAACATTGTCATCATTGGAAGCGTTGCAATACCACTAATCAGTCCATTATTTCGTAAGTATGCGATTAGACTCCTTTCTTTGTCAGCATCTCTTAGAAAGAACTGATTTACGTAGTACGCTACATCCTTTTCAGAGAAACCTTGTAATTCACAGTGTAGGTAGGTCCCTCTGTGTTTCTTGAACTCGTCTATTCTCCATGGCCGTGATGTTACGCATACAAAACTTGATCTAAGATATTTATTTTCTAGAAGCTTTAATATTTCGCCGTTATCTGGGCTCTCAATACTCACTGGCTTGTATTCATCACAGGCGTCAAGAAGTACAGCGACCTTATTGGAGTGGTGCCTTATAAATCGATGCAAATGAGCTTTATATTCCATGTATTCCTCAGTCAGAATGCCATGTTCGAACATAGCCTCAACAATATCTTCGTTTGAAGAAATTGTCTGCATGCTTAAAGCTATCACAAGCTTAAAATTTGTTATCGGTGATTCTTTATTTTCACTTGCCCAATCATAAGCTATTTTGTTGATTAGGGTTGACTTACCAATCCCGGCTTTACCATATACTAATACGCGATTTACTGGAGTATCACTGCCAGGTCTCTTAAATATATCATGGTAAGAGTCAAGAGGTACTTTGAATTTCTCTGTTGGATTCAGAAGTTCTATGACCATTACCAGATTGGTAAATAGCGTGTCCATGTTGACAATATTAGACCGATCAAATGGCAATAATTGAATTTGGTTCCGTGTTTGGCAATAATGTAGCTTGATTGCCTCGAAACAAGGCTGCAGTGCATCTTCGTCACTAGATATCAAATGTTGAGGTTCTGTGTGGATAAAATGATAAAGAAGTATAATTAAAATGATATAACAGTACAGTATTACAAAATAAATTAAAAACCATGACTTTTTCATGTCTTATATTTCAAAGGTGTAAATTTTGCTGTAATTTAAGAAAATTTCCCTTATTGAATCCCATGACATGGTGTTATGAGAACTAAATAATACATTTAACTTCATTTAAACTCAAATTAATTTGATTTTATTGAGATAGAAATTTGTCTTCTATTATTTCCAACCATACCGTTACATTATGGTATCATTATGCTTAATCTCCTTTTGAGCAGAAATATGGCCTATTTGTTTTTTATTAAATTCACTTCCTTTTTTCTATTTCTAAATTTATGTTACTCTCGAACAGAAATATTCGACATTTATATCTTTGGATAATTTATGTAGTCATTTTTATTAGGAAGTTTATTTAAGCATTATTGTCACTGTTAATATTATCTGTCATTTGTTATTATTATTATATTATATTACTATAGTGATGTTATTGCTATTAATGTAGCTGTTGTTATTTTTGATTATTATTGTTGTTTTTACCTCTCATTTTTTTTAATACGAAGACGGAAAGTTGATAAAATATTTATCTTAAGCTTGTTCCATATCTGAGTAATATTTTTTTAATTATTATACATCTAGAAAATGTAACTATATCTTTATTTTTACAAATCATATATCTATTACTATTATTATCTTATGAAGTTTGTTCATTACTATTGTTATTATTATAATTTTGTTGTTATTGTTATTATTATTATTATTATTATTATTATTATTATTATCAATGTTATTATCGTTTAAATTGGAAGGATAAAGTTTTGAGAAAAAAGGGATTTGGTTTAAGTTTAATTTATTGAATTTAGCTTATGTAACTATATTAAAGTTCTTTTGTACGATTATCTCGTTCTTTGTGTCTGTTCTTTCATGTCCGATTTATTTGATGATTATGACAGACAATGTTGAAATAATATAACTTTCAACCCCTTTTCAATTTATAACAAACATTTTTGTTTGCTGTTTTATCCATTCTTTAAAAGACAACTATGCGACTCTGCCAAAAGGGGTGACGCCAAGATTTGCCCGAAGGGGATTCTACGAGAACTAACCTGTTATATTAGAGGCATATTACTGCTACTGCTACTGCTACTAATACTGCTACTGCTACTGCTACTGCTACTACTACTACTACTACTACTCAATAGGCTAGCAATGCCTAAGCCTAGGCGATCAAATTGTGTGTCTAGCTCTTCTTTGCTTATGTACTCAATTTTAACAGCACCCATCGTCTTGCAATTTATTCGCCGAAGGCGCTAATGAACTTTAGTACTCCACCCTAACCCTAATCTTAACAATAACATAGCAAGACTGAAGTTGAGGATAAGAGGTTAGGGTTAGGGTATTGGTATTGGTATTGGTTTTATATTTATATAGCGCCTTCCACGCTGGAGTACTAAAGTGCATTAGCGCCTTTGTCGAATATTGATAAGACATATTTCATTTGTCTTTTGGTGCTATTGCTATCGGCTTCATCAAGAAGTAATCCTATGCCTAGGCTGGCCACCCTTCATCTCAAAACGAGCAGCCTCCATATTTGTTTATCGTCTACTCGCTGATCCGTGACGCGGTCAGGAGATAATCTCGTCGTAGAGGTCACAGTCCCCCCCCCCCCTCAGCAGCGCGATGTAGTGGGCCTAGAGTTTGCACATCACGACAGGTCCAAAAAGTACTATTTTTGAGGGGAATAGTGCTTTTTAAAGGGGAATAGTACTTTCTATTGCCCCGCTTCTTAACCAATCAAATGTATGAGGTATATAATTCGATTTATATAGCGCTTTATACCGGAGTCTAAAAGCGCTGTGGACTAGTTCGTACATTAACTTTCTTCTCTCCAAAGAATGTTCATGTCTGAGCTACCCATTAACCGGTTCCAGCTACTCTCGTCTGCCCAAAACAACGGACTGACTGTATGGACCAGGACACCGGAGTAACCTTATACTTGTCTCGAAAGATGAACTGAGTCCTTTTAAGTGCACACCAGAGCCACATTGTGTACACTGGGCCTACGGTTAGTCCTTCTCCGAGGAGTCGGGTTGGCGAAATCTGTCCAGAATACGGGCTTTTTCTGTCCAGAATATGTGCTGTATGGGGGCGCTGTTGTCCAGAATACGAGCGTTCTCTGTCCAGAATATGGGCTGTGAAATTTGTCCAGAATACGGGCTCTGAAATCTGTCATGAATACGGGCTATATGGGAACGCTGTTGTCCGACATGTCCGACGGAGGGGTCCAACGACTAGAGCCTGGTATAAAAAAAAATCCTTGGTATGGTTCACGGGGAGTGTTTTACTGGCTTAGTATTGTCGAAAATGTGCTTTTAGCCCACAATATTAGGGATTGGCAATCAAAATATCGTTATTTGGATAGGAACATTATTTTTTTTACATTTTTTTTTGTCCGAAAACCTAGTCGACAGGGGGTCCAGGAACATGAGTTTCCTATATGCCGCACTGTATTGTCGGCCTACAAATGTAGCTTAGAAAATTCATGAAAATCGTTAAATTTACCATTTACAATACTCTTGCTTCATTTTTTTTTTTTTTTTCATAATTTTACTGTTTACATTCTACTGATGTTCCAAAATCTAAAAATGTGACGTAAGTAAGCCCGTATTCTGGACAACAGCGCCATCAAACAGCCCGTATTCGGGACAGAGAAAGCCTCTAAAAATAGAATATGACGTAAGAAAGCCCGTATTCTGAACAACAGCGGCACCATACAGCCCAAAGAAAGCCCGTATTCTGGAAAACAGCGTCTCCATGCAGCCCAGAGAAAGCCCGTATTCTGGACAAACAGTGCCCCCATACAGCCCGTATTCTGGACAGAGAGAGCCCGTATTCTGGACAGATTTCGCCACACCTACTGTATCCGAGAAGATTTGTTTCACCACAAGAAACATAGACGAGCGTGCAGTTCGAACCTGCGCCGATATTTTGACTGTAGGTTGCGGCGCCCTTGCACTAATCGCTCGGCCATCCAACTCACCGTGCTACTTTTCTGCGGAAGAATGACTGATGTGTTGGATACCGTCTTGCGTAGCGATATCGGTTCAGTAGTATATAATAATTCCGCGCTGACGCGGGAGGGCTGGTTAGATTGGAATCGGTTGCGAGCGATAATTACGTACGTAACCGTGGCTTAGTCCAGTTCGCTATACACATAGCGTAACAGTATTACCATAGACTGTAGAGTAAGGTTAGTTTAAAGCCTCATGCCGGGTAATGTTTGGGTAATGAATACAGGGTAATGAAATTGTGACATGCTAGGACCACTGTGACAAGCAGGTTAGACGTCAAAGTAGAATGGTGCGCCATTCTGGAGTGAATTTTATCTTTATTAAATCCATTATTGATGATCTTGAATTTGTATATTGATGATCTTGAATCCATATCTTGATCTTGCATTCATGTATTGATGCTCTTTATATCGTATATGATGATCTTAAACATTAAATCCATGTGACGATATTGGACATATCAGGTATATTGCCGATGATGGTCGGGAATGTGTAAATTGATGATCTTTGATAATCTTGTGGGATGTGAAGACAGCTAAAATTCAAAAACGTTAATTGTTCATGTATCGGATATGATTTATGTTAGCCAGGGTAACGGAAACCAAAAACGTTAACTTGTGGTTGAGCGTATACACATTAGCCTGAGTTGAGTGCGATTCAAACCAGAAACATTGATTTCAATTCTTTATAGACAGGCCTGGCTGAACTTATATTTTACTTTGTTTATAGTGGTGTGTGTGTGTGTGTGTAAATACATATTGGATATAGCAATTAATAATTGTTTTGGTCTTTGTTATTGTGTCTGCGTCATCCCCAGTATAACTATAGTTCCAGTACCATTGTCCATTGTGAAGAGTATTTCGTCACCAAAAAAAAAAAAAAAAAAAAAAAAAAAAAAATAGAGGTAATAGAGGTGACAAAGATATTACCTTTCAGATTATAGAAACATTTTTGTATTATTCTTATGAAAAATAATATTTAACGATATTTCTGTCACCTAAAATTTTTTAACAATTTTTGCTATTACTAATATTATTACAATTTTCATAGTTAAAATGAACGAGTTTATACATACCAGTATCATCTAATGATTCTAATAGCCTTTCAATGAATCTCTGATCCCAGGCCTCAGCTGTCGTAAATAAATCAACGGCGTCTGGTATAATAGCGTTGGGTGTTAACTTCACTGATATTAACTTTCCTTGCTTCAGTTTCATGTCGCGTGTCGCGTCAGAAACAACTTTATATGCCGCTAATATTCCATTTTCATTCTTAGGATTTTCTGAAAAAACTATTATAACTTTCCGAGACTCTTGCGTTGGAATGATTAAGTTTGTAAGGCAAAATTTTCCGTATATCCAATTTTCTTCAAACATACACTTAAGAGATGGCCTTTTCTCTTGTAATCTAAACACTAATCCCCTCTCAAATTCCTTGTCATCACAAATAATGCAAAAGTCGTATTTAAATTCTGCAAAAGAAAAAAATAAATAAATAAATATACTGTCTCTTATACACATCTAGATGTGTATAACAGACAGCTATATGGGAACGCTGTTGTCCGACATGTCCGACGGAGGGGTCCAACGACTAGAGCCTGGTATAAAAAAAAATCCTTGGTATGGTTCACGGGGAGTGTTTTACTGGCTTAGTATTGTCGAAAATGTGCTTTTAGCCCACAATATTAGGGATTGGCAATCAAAATATCGTTATTTGGATAGGAACATTATTTTTTTTACATTTTTTTTTGTCCGAAAACCTAGTCGACAGGGGGTCCAGGAACATGAGTTTCCTATATGCCGCACTGTATTGTCGGCCTACAAATGTAGCTTAGAAAATTCATGAAAATCGTTAAATTTACCATTTACAATACTCTTGCTTCATTTTTTTTTTTTTTTTTATAATTTTACTGTTTACATTCTACTGATGTTCCAAAATCTAAAAATGTGACGTAAGTAAGCCCGTATTCTGGACAACAGCGCCATCAAACAGCCCGTATTCGGGACAGAGAAAGCCTCTAAAAATAGAATTGTACAGTTAAACCACCTATAGCTGAAGAATTCATGCTTTTCTAATAACAACTAGGAAAGTACCTTTATTCAGCATCATCTCCGAACGCTTCAGAGTATCCTTTATTTATAATTTTTTTAGAAAAAACATAATTATATATACGATCAGAACTGTGTCATTTTCAAAGTACACATGACATTCACCCTGTAACACACTGCATATGGCACTATATGATCTAACAAGTTTAATTCCTCATCTCCGTCACAGTCATTTCCATCACAATTTTACTGTGATGGAGATGACTTTTTGATGTTTTCTTTCCTCAAAAAAGAATATATAATAACAATTATAATTGATCTGGTTTATGTTGTTAGAAACCTTTTTGCTCAATGTTTATTTTTCTATATTTAAATAATATAATCTATCTTTTAAATTTACTAAGATTCACATTTATGAGTATATCATCATCTCCGTCACAACAAAGTGTGACGGAGATGATTTCTTGATGTTTTCTTTTCTCAGAAACAGCTATAAAATAAAAATTGTAATTGATACGACTTATGTTGTTAGAAACCCGTTTGTTCAATGTGCATTATCCTATATTTAAATAATACAATCTATCTTTTAAATTTACTAAGATTCACATCTATATGTATATCATCATCTCCATCACAAAAAGTGTGATGGAGATGATTCTTGCAATATTTGCTATGTAACAGCACTGAAAATTGAATGCTTAAATAAACGTTTAAAATGCCCTAATTATCGTGCCGAATGTTTATTATAGTTGTTATATGGCATAATGATGACATGTGTAATAACAGAATTACAAATGTTAAACTTTTTTTTTTTCATGATTTCTAAACCTCTAAAATGGCACATTAGCGAAGAATGACCCAGTTACGATTCGGAGTAGGATGTAGATATAAAAACCATTCAAAGAAACCAGATATTTCATAAACTAATCAACAGATCTGAATGAAAGTTTCGGAAAAGTTCAAACAAATTACAAGGAATAAATTACTAAGATTTAGTGACGATCCAAGTTCGTGTGTGAATTTGAGGTCATTATTTGAAGTGCTAAGGTCTCAGTCTTAAGCATCTCTAAAAACTTATCAATTAAATTGAATGAAACTTTCTAGAATAGTTTGTCATGTTTCAAAAATTTTAGTGACGATCCATAGTAGGGTGTGGATATGAGAACCATTTAAAAGTAGGTATACCGTAGGCAAATACACTAGCTGTATGATGAATTAATATTCAAATTATTGCAAATAAAGTGAATGCATACAGCGTTTTATATGTAGTAACTTTCCTTTTTAGGAAATATTAGGAATATTTTTAATGAATCTTCCTTTTAAACCTGTGACACTAAAGAAGAAAATAATACCCACGGTATCTTCATTCTGGACAAAAAGTCCGATATTGAGGCACGCAAAAACTATAGAGGGCGCGCTATATTTAAAACCAACTTGTATACACGTCACTCGCTTTGAATATTCAATGTTTTAATCAACCATTAATGCGTAAATTCGAGGATATTATTAAATATTCATGATCTATTCCTAATTTGGTCATGTGGGAGGAGCTTGGAACATATCGTTTAGAATAATTCCTCATGGAAGTCGCTGTGGAGGCCGACGAAGGTAAGCCTATATTTTTCATGTTTTTGTAGTCAAATTTTCGGGTTTTTTGGCTAAAAAGGTACATAGTGTTATCCATCATTTTTGCAAAAATGCATTTGATGTATGTAATGCTTCATTACTAAGGAACAGCTTGACAAATTAATAATTTTTTGTAACGGCTAGATTTTTTTTATATGATGGTCAATGTAACCTACATTTTCAGGCGAGTGCAAAGGCGTGTTGCGCATTGTATCAGGCCTAGCGCGATCTGCACGCGTAAGAATTTATGGTTAACGACGTTTCGTTAATTTGGATCAGCGTAGGCCTAGCATGATAAGCGTGCATACAGTACAAAAAATAGGCATTTATTAATTATGACCCAATTTTATTAATTATGCGCATGTTTAGGCCTCGGCGAACCCAATATTTAGCCTGGCTAGGCCTACTAACTTAGAACTAGAGATATTTAATGTAGGCTAACGAACACAAATGTAGCTAATTCGATTTTTAATTTAATATTTATTATTTTTCAGGTTTTCCCTACCAACCAGAAGTTTGGCTACCACCACCAATTCTCAGGCAGGTACACATCAAGCAAATTTTAATTATATAATAATTATTTAATTATATAATAAGGCAAGTACAGTAATTAGTAGGCTTAGGCCTGAGGTAGCCTATTTTATTAGTATTATGGTTTACATTATTTCGAGTGATTTTGAGGGGGTATTATTCAATTAGCACCTGTATATAGACTAAACTGAGCTTTAAAATATTTAATAGAAAATCAATGCAATCATAGCATATTAATATAGTGTCATCAGTCAACGTTTATTTTACATAGAGCTTTAGTATTTCTTTTAATTGAAAACAATCACTATTTTGCTTATTCATGTAGGTATAGTTTATCCGGGTCTACCAATTTAAATTTATTCGAAATTCATATTGTTAAATAATTTTAATTCAATTCATACAATACAGGCTGTATGTTAGCACAGTATTATTTCAATACAGTCGTATTATTTTATTAACATATTATACAGTATTTATGTACAATATTATTTAATGATGTTGAATACTCTACAACAATTATTTTCTGATAATAAAAATTAAATGCACTTCTAGCATTCCATTTTTATATATAAAAAGCTTATAATGCAATATCAAAATAGATATTCATACATTGTATTTTTATTAAATTTTAAAAGTTGAATATATTTAAAATGTACTAACAATTTTCTTGCAGGTGGAAATCCCTTGATATGTTCTTTGGGAGAATACTGATTTCTAAAAAAGGATTATATTTGGATATTTCTGATAGGATTTAATAGAACTTTCGAACTTGTGGTAGGCAATGTGGACCTGCTCGTCACACCCTATTCACTCAACAGACTCAAACCCATATGTCATCAAATAGACACAGCAACAGCATACTATATAATTAATGTGGACGTAATTTATTTTTGTTCTTTGGTGTTGCAAATTTAAATTGTGTGGATATATTATTTGCTACAGGATTGTCTGACATTTTGATGATTTCAAACTAGCAGAATTGACTACTGTAGCAGGGTAACACTCAGGTTTTCTGCTGGTATCCTAATGCAACACCTCTTTTTTATTATCTGTATGTTATATTTTTCATTTAATTTCAAGTGATTGTTAATTAATTGTGCATACTCTTTGAGGAATCATAGTTTGCTTAAAAAGAAATAGGAATTAGAAAAATAGGAAAGAAATAATGAACAAACCCCTGTGAATCAATCGTGGAATCTCACAAATCATATACCGGTAGTTTTTTTTTAAAGCCTATAGTTATAATTTGTTTAAAATTAAATTCATGACAAAAAATATGACTCCTGGGTAGTTTATCAGGTTTTATGTTTTTATATGTTGTAATTTATCCATCAATGTGTAAATCAAGATATCATTTTTAATGATCTTTGTTGAATAAAGTAAATACCAAAGTGAATTAATATTATTATTATTTAAATTTGTAAAGATAATAAAATTCCAGTTTTTCTTATTTTAAACTAAAGAAATAATTGTACTTTTTTAACTCTACAACAGAACCCCCACACCAAAAGAGAATAAACCACCACAGTGTTAATAGTATTACAGATCCTTTGTATAGGATTTGTTGTAGCACACACGCACCCGCACAAACGCTGGATAACAAAAAACGCTATCCTGGGCCTAAAGCTAGGCCTAGGTTGTATAAAAAGGTAGAAAATTCACCAAGTTTGAAAAGCAATTTCTCAAAATTCAACTGTTACAAATTTTTTTGCTTTTGAAACAGAATAAAATAACATCTAATAAGAAAGTATACAAAAAACCAGAATTCTAAATGATGGATAACATGTGTTGAATGACGATTTAAAGTTCCGTACTTAAGTACCTTGACTTTGTGTGGTGGCGCTGTTTGTTTACTTCATCTCTGTATAATAGGCCTCAGAAATACAACTAAAAATACAAGTAAACTTTTTTTTTAAACGTAAAAATTGAAATGTGTGGTTTAATACACATATAAGTAACTTGTAATTAGTTTGAATTCATGAAAGATAGCTTATATTTTCCGTAATATCTGATATACTACGCGAATTCCTGTACCGATAAACTCGCTAGCGTAGCGCTCAATACATCGTTCCACTTCATTGATTTCGCTGACTCAGAAGGATTACGTAATGTAGCGCCCTCTATAGTTCAACTCTTTTTGTCCAAAACCCCTATTCGTGAAGACACCGTGTACCCAATATTTCTTATGAGTTTTACTATTTGCGTACTATTTTCATTTGAACACCAACTTGGCATGTATTTTTCACCTATAAGTGTAAAA